AGGGGTACAGGTAATATACAGGGGTACGGGTACTCCTAGAATGAGATCCTAATAGGTTGGACTTGATGGACTAATGTCTTTATTCAACCTCAAATACTATGTAACTATGTAACAGGCAAGGTGCATTGTCAAAATGCCCTATTTTTCCGCCCTCACCCTGCAGCGCCCCCCGGTGGCCGCCTGACTTGCCTTGCGGTAGCGCCGGGCCTGTGTCCGTTGCCAGCTGTAATCAGGGGGATAATCGCGGGAAATCCTGCGATCGTACGATTATCGTAAGGTGTGTGGAAGCCGTGCGACCTCTACTACTGTAAGGTCGCACGACTTTTATCTTAGGAACATGTTCGAAAACCCGCCGAGCATCGTACAATGTTCGGCGGGTGTGTAGCATGTTCGTAACATAAAAGCCGGACGGGCTGGTGTGCGCAAGCTGCCCGTTCAGCATTGCGGTCATCGGAAACCTGCCCCTCAGGGGGGGCGCGGCTTGCGATCATCGCAAGTACGATCTGCCTGTCCAAGATAGGCAGATCGTACGTTTTTTTAATTACCTTACAACCATCGCAAAACAAAAGACAAAAGTCTTGCAATGGTTGTAAGGTCTGTGCCCAGCTTTAGGGATGAGTTCAGGTTCAGACTGAACCCAGTCCAAACCTGAGCTTCTTCAAACAAGGAAGTGTCAGGGCACTTCCACCCTGCAGCTGCATGTAAATAAAGGTGTCGGGATGCTTGTATTGATGTAATTTACCATATATGACCACAGAGTCATATTAGAGTAATGTTATTTACCAAATATAAGCATGTTACCACATAAGGTCAATTACATCACTGCATCCTGCTCCTTTTTTTGACGTCAAGCTGCAGATTGGGAATTCCTGGCCTGCAGCTGATTAGCTGGCATGGAAGGAGCTTCCTTCCTTCTTTGAGAGGCATTCCATCTGGGTTCAGAGGAGCCCAGATTCAAACCGGGTTCGGTCCAGACCTGGGCTTATCCCTAATCTGCATACCTGTTGCAGGTCAGTGTCTCAGAAAGTACTAAGGCCAGAGGGTCAGCAAAAAAAGTCAGTCAACTATCATTTTCGGAAGGAGGTTAGTGATGGCAACCTCTATTTTTCTTTCAGGAAATAATTATTTTTTTTGTGTTGGCCTCTCTGGCTAGTCTAAGATGTTGATGGGGCTTATTTTGCTGATTTAAGATCAGAATTAATTTTTTTCAAATACCTTTTACAAAACAAATGCATCCCTTCTATAATGTATGAAGCGCTCTGTAAGGTAACGCCTGTCACTACGCATGCGCAGTGTCCCATTTTTCATACAGCAGGTAAACATACGCTGGTGCACATGCGTGCACAATAGGACGTACGTACAAAGACGCGCTGACCTCTGGCGCACAGTAAGTGATGTGGTGACCTCTGGCACTCAGGAAATGATGCAGTGACCTCTAGTAGACCAGCCTATTTAAACAAGCCTGTTTGATCATCAGGTGCTGGATAGTCTACAGCTTGTTCCTGTGACTACTCTGATTGCCGTCTGCCTCCTGACCTTTGCCTGTTTACTGGACTTGCCTCTGTCTCCTTCTCTGTACTTTGCTGCCCGGCTGGTGTGCCCCCTTCCTTGTTTGACCTGATGCTGTCTCTGGATTTCTACCTGCACGGTGTGGATGCACCTCTGGCACCTGTGCTACTTTCTGTTCGCTCAGACTCTGTCCCCACCTCCAGAGTCTGTGGGACACAAGGTGCAAGGGAAGCCTCATCCAACCGGTCTCCAACCAGGTACATGATAAGCTCACCCCTTAAGAAGTCACAAGATATGAATTAGGTTCTCCTGCCTGTTTTGCCAGCCACCAGCCCTTTTTCTGAGCTTAGGCAATACTGACACTTTAGGATAGCACAGGCTTGAGTCGTAGGGTTTTTTTTTAAAAGTATTTATTGCTTAGTAATAACTAGGAGAGAGTGTTAGGGTTGCAGGATACCCAAGTAACAAAATTGAAGACAGTGTCTTCACCATTAGCAACAGTAGTAACAGGTAGCAATAGGTCTTATTAGAGCGACCAGTGATAGGTAGTAGCACTAGAGAACAGCCAGGAAGAGTTCAGGATTCTGAAAGAGAACAGTCACAGGACTTATAGTGCACCAACTGGTTTCTCTTCTGTATAATGCAGTATCTGAGTATAGGGTGAGGGATCTCTTACAGGGTCCAGACAGCAGTTCTCACCAGCTCCTCTGCAACACTCCTCAGTAAGCAGATTCTTCCTCCAGCCCAGCTTCAATCAGGTTCCTTTTTGGTAGCATGTTATGTCTCTGAGCCCCCAGCATCTGCCACATGCTGAGGTCTAGACCAGGCATCCTGTAACACACAGGCCTCCTCCCAGGAAGAAGCCACGGGAGAGAGAGAGAGAGAGAGTTCTGGAATGTCCTCACAAATATGTATCACCTTCCTCCAGCCATACCTCTAAGTGAGCCTGCTCAGGGATTGGTCAGAGCCAGATGCATATTCATAATCTAAAGATTGATCCCCCCACACTGTATACTGAGGCCCCAACCCAGCAACAGGTAGAATCAATCAATCCACAAGACTTAGGGAAACCTGCAGATCTCAGAACAATCAGCATCCAGACTGACTAAAGTCTAGATATAACACTAAATGGAATAGCGACATAGCAGAGGGAGCTACATGCACATTTATAAAATGTCTTCCTATGTCTGAGTGGGTTTATGCAAGTGCTCTGATTTCCTCCCACACTATAAATAGAAATTAGTTTCCAAATAGGTTATTCAACGAAAACTGGCCTAAAGTTTTTGTGTTTACAGGTGTGCTGTGAACATTAGATTGTAAGTTTTTCATGCTAGTGCCATATAAATAAAGTACAATAAATACATTGTAGAAAATACTCTAGGTATATTTTTATATCCAACAAGGGTGAGGATAGAGTTTCCAGATTTACGTTTGCGTTTGTTACTTCGTGAGTACATGTTAAAGTGCTTTGCAACTAACCACAATGGACCTATTCATGCATCTGCACCTTGGTTTGTTAAAATGTCCGGTTGCTGAAGTGCTTTGAGGATGTTAATTGGATTCCTCACCACAATACAGATATATAAATCCATACTAAATGTATAGCTTTCCTTAAACCCAACAACCAAAAAATAACATACTGTAGCTTATCAGGCCTTAGATATGGTGGCTGCATTATTTTTTTTAGGCTATGTACATTCTCTTCAAGGACTGAAAAATGACATTTGATGCTGCTAGAAATTCAGTGTCCTTGTAACTTCCTGTATACTGAACTGATATCAGAAACATTTTATCAGCTTTCTCAGCTATCTTTCATGAACTGCAAAACACGTACTCTCTATCTAATGGAGATGAGAACAGGGAGAACAGGGAGAGGTGTTTGTGGTCCAAATTAGAATAGCCTGGGGTGACAATGCTGTCCCTCTATAGATGCAGTACTGAGAGTGAGCGCTGTAACCCTAGTACAGAAATAGTGTTACTGGCAGGATCACCAAGCTAATGCAGCCACCAAATCTAAGCACATATAAGGTGTAATATATAACATTTTTGTTTTTGGGTTTACATATGCTTTAACGACTTTGTGCCTACTGAAAAAAATAAAACTAAAATGCTAACCATTCAATATTAATTACACATACTAATTGACAAGTATGTGTATTTAGAAGCAATGGGCTAAACTATTAATAATGCTGTCTATTTAATTTCAAATTTTTAGTAACAATCAACTGTCCTGTGTCCAGTATCCCATCTACTTCTCATAATACTATTCCATGCACAGAATTATTTCCCCAGAAAATGACAAATTACAAACATTATTTTACATAAGTGAGCATATTGAAATTGTATACTCCTGCACCTATTAAGAAAAAGGTTACCATTTTAAGCAGAAATCCAGTTTTCAGACAACAATTTGCTCAGCGCTTTACAAAATAGTGGAGACAGTACAGTTATAATACAATTTACAGTACAATACAGTTTCAGAACAATAGGGTTGTATGTGCAGTACCATAAGATTTGATGCATCTCAATTACACATTTATTGAAATGTAGGTTTGAATGTATGAACAAACATACATATGTATGTACAAACACATACAAAAAAATCTACTGGTTCAAAACTTGATTTCTTTCCAACAATTAGAAAGTCAAGCGAATGTTCCAAAATTGATTTTGTTTGTTCGAAATTCTACCCATGTATACCCAACTTTAATGTGGGAGAGCACAGGGCACACTGGACAAAAATAAACAAATCATTACACTTTGTAACACATATCATCAGGTTAGTTCCCATTGCCCAGTTATTGTGGGAAGCTGATGCGGCCTCTGCCTCTACAATGTGGCTGATTGAACAAAGAACAAATATAACTACAGATGCTGTAACTGAGAGACCCAATGCATAGCGGTGAGAGTAAATAACCTTGGAACTTGTATGGAGTATGTCAGTGTGCATGCTTCTTTGTCAGAGTAGCAGAACTTAAACCGGAGAGGTCCTAAATTCTCTAACAAATGGAAATAGGGTGGTTTGATCTACCACTGTCGACAGAAACTAGAACAGTATTTTTTTCATATTTTTGTTTATTTCTTATTATAAAAAAATATTCAAGGTATTTTCAAAAACAAATTACTAAACTAAAAACCCAGATGTGGCAAAAGATGAGATGAAAATAGCTTTGGTATGCAACAATACAAAGACATTCCAAATTTTTACAAACCTTTTTATTAAAAAATCCATTAGAATTCCAAAGACAAACATCATTGACACAAATGCGCTTCAAATTTTTACAAACCTTTGTATTAAAAAATCCATTAGAATTCCAAAGACAAACATAATTGACACAAATGCGCGTAGCCAGATGATAGATAGATAGATAGATAGATAGATATTATAGCAGAGAATCAAAATTAATGTGTAAGAATTGTAGTGTAGGAAACATATTTCTATGTATTATTTGCTAAACATCTAGTAAATAAAGTGGTTCGTTACTAATTTTTCAATGAAAAACAGAAACAGACAGGAAATCAATTATTAAAGTTTTTGACTTCCTCATTGCTGACTTCACATCCTTGTTCCTCAAGGTGTAAATGAATGGATTTAACAATGGAGTGAGAACAGTGTATATAAGAGCTAGGAATTTGTCTAGTTGGGAGCCAACAGGTGTGATATATACAATCATGGCTGTACCATAGTACAGACTGGCCACAATAAGATGAGAGGAGCAGGTGGAAAAAGCTTTTTTCTTTCCAGCAGAACTCTTAATTTTTAAGATAGTGTTAATAATGTGAATGTAGAAACCTATGATGATAATGAATGGAATGACTACAGCAAACACAGCTGCTATTAGAATTGCCACTTTGCTGATAAAAGGATCAGAGCAAGACAAATCTTGAAGCGGTGCTGCATCACATACAAAATTGTTTATCTTGTTTGGACCACAGTATTTCAGACGAGCAGTAAAAAATGTAGTCAATAAAGAAATAGTTAACCCAACAATCCATGGTGCCCCAGCTAGTTTAAAACAAAGTTCCTTACTCATAATAGATAAATAATGAAAGGGGTTATTAATAGCTAAGTCTCGATCAAACGCCATTATTGCCAAGAGGTAGCATTCTGTTATCCCTAATCCATTAAAGAAATATAACTGGGTGAAACATCCTAGAAAAGATATACTCTTTTTCTCTGAAATTAAATTATCAAGAAGCTTAGGTATAGTAACTGTTACAAACATAATTTCCAGGACTGCAAAGGTGCCTATAAATATATACATTGGGGTATGAAGCAAGGGATCAATTATAATGAAAATGATAATAGAAATATTTCCAGATATGCAGATCATGTATGACAGCAAAATGGTGACAAACAGTATCTTCTGCAATTGTGCAATATCAGAAAATGCCATTAAAATGAATTCTTTCACCATGGTGTTATTGTTGTCATCAGTTATATAGGATGAAAATTTCTAAAATAAAAATACAGTTATCTGCCACTTACAAGCAAGGAAGAAAGGAAACATTGCAGATGCATAAAACTCTCAACCAAAGATAACTGCATAACCCAATGTTACATAGTTACATAGTATTTGGGGTTGAATAAAGACATACGTCCATCAAGTCCAACCCATATAGGTCCACGCATCATCTCATTCTTAGGGATACTGGTATCCCTGGATATTACGGTCCCTCAAGAAATTGTCCAAACGTTTCTTGAACAAATCTACACTCTGGGCTGAAATCACTGCCGATGGCAGTGAGTTCCAGACCTTAACCGCTCTTACTGTAAAGAACCCTCTTCGCCCATTGTGCTGGAATTTTTTCTCCACCAACTTTAGGTGGTGGCCTCTTTGTAATGGAGTTAATCTCAAACAGTTTGTTGCCAATGTTGCTGTCACCATTGAACATCTTGTACATGAAAATCATATCCCCCTTAATCTCCTTAATTCCAGCGTAAACATGTTTAAGGGCAAAAGCCTTGTCTCATAGCTCTGGTCCTCCATTCCCCTAATTAGTTTTGTTGCCCTCCGCTGGACACTCTCCAGTTCAAGGACATCCCTTCTCAGTATCGGCGACCATAACTGGACCGCTTACTCCAGATGTGGCCGTACCAACGATCTACATAGAGGCACAATTATAGACTTATCCCTGCGTTTCCCACGGCAGTTATGCAACGGTGTGTATCGTTCCATTTTGTCAGGAGTGTAAATCAGGATAAAAAACATGCAAAGTGTGTTATGGTTTTGGATTTTTTAAATATTTACTGTGTGGGGCAACTAAGGCACAAAGAATAACCTAAACAGTTACCGCTGGTCATTTTAAATTGAATGCAACTTAGTAACATTATGTGATTTATCCACTAACATTCAAATGTAATTAATCTTTTGAAGCAAAGTAAAATGATTCAATGTATATTTTAATTTGCACTTACTAGAGAATTATCACCCATTGTCCAAACAAAGCTAAGTGTAATTTGAGGATTTTAATAAATATGTATTATAGTTTTTTTTTTCTCTCCTGTACTGCAAGTAGAGCACATAATGCTCTAAATGATTCTGATGTGCACCAGTTTATATAATAAAGTGAATGTATAGAAGGAGGAACCAGGAGACCTGTATCAGTGGGAACAATTCTCAGTTGTTTAAGGTAATTCAATATTTTTTAATGAAACATCTGAGAGTAGAAATTCAAAAGTAAGTTATAAAAAAATGCACCCATAGGAGTTTGCTATATTTAAAGCTGTTTTGTCATTGACTTTTATTTTTTTTCTGAAGTGATTTCATATAGTAGATTTAAAGCATCCCTTTTGGCAAAATAATATTATACCCTTTAAACTATTTTCATATAAAACATTTGTAATGAAAGTTAATTTTTTCACATGCTTTTTTAATATCTTTTTCTCAGCGTATATAAAAACAAAGCTATCTGGCAAAGGTGACAGTGACTGGGGTTGGGGCAATTATTAACCTGCCAAGGGTGCTTGATCAGTTACAGCAACAATTTGGATTTCAGAAATATTTAATTCTGTTTACTGAAAGCCGCCTGGCAGTGTTTTGGTCTATTCCAATTCGAATTATTGTCTCTTTTGCCAAATAGTTTGACCTTTATGCGAATATGGACAAAAGTATAAAGACATGTATAAAGGAGAAGGAACGAATCTACTAAACTCCATTATTCTACATATTACCAACATGCAGTTAGAAGAATGCAATATTTTTTAGACCGCTTTCTATTTATAAATACATTCGGTTTTTAAAGTTAAAGCTGAATTCTGTATTTGTTAATACATCATCAACTGCATATATTTTTTTAATGTGTGCAGTGTAAGTACCTGAATCTGACCTGGTATCAGCCTTTTGCAGTCCCTGTATAGCAGGGCTGGAATGTGAGAGGAAGAAATGCTACAAGAAACAAGACAGTTCTTGTGCTTAATGAAAGCATGCTGATAGGAGGAGAAAGTAGCATGACAAAGAGATGAGGTCATCACTGTGCTGCTTTTCCTTTCATTGCCAGGTAACAGGCTGGGGCAGATCCAGTGTGTCCTGGACTCTTGAAAGTGGGCTGAATTATGATGGACATCAAACTGAGGGAATCTATTGGCAGAAAATATATGGTGGGTGAAATCCTTGGATTGCAGTTAAAGCTCGGTTTGTTACTCGAGAGCCTGAAAGTCTGTTTACATGTGCAAAGCTGACAGTTGGCTTTAAACGGGAAATGATTTCAGTGTCTGTGAAGCCACCTAATCACTTTCACGGGCTGCAAAATGTGTACCCCCTTCTCACTGAACCCATTTTTTAAAACCATTTTACAATCTAATGCAACCAACTTTAAAAATCATCCTAGGATGACATATTTGTGTGACCCTTTGTACTAATCCTCAGAAAAAAACGACTCTGAAAATTAACAATAATATGGGCAAGTAGTCCTAGAGATTGGTAAAAGAAGGTATGATATTCCTGTGTCATTTATAAACACAAGGAATAACTCCAAACCTAAATGGTGGACATGTAAGCTGACAAAAATAATTTTGTTTTGTTTTTTGTTTGTTTCAAATATTTAGTTTTTCAGGATTTGGGTCCATTTGCTTCAGGATTAGGATTCGAAAGAATATTAATTAATTGCCAATGAATATTCATTGCAGCAAAGTGACAGAGAAAAGAAAAAAAAATACTTTTTTTACAGTCGGCAGGAAAAAAAACCTAAATTAAAATTTGTACGATTTTTTGAAAATTCGTACATTCGGATGCATCCGAAATTTTCGTTATCGGAAGTTTGGATTCGTTATTTCTGTCATTTGGAAATTTGGATGCATCCAAATGTATGAATTTCTGAAAATTCGTACAAATTTTAATTCGGAACTAAATGAATCACACATGTCTACGAATAGGTCTTTATGTTTCTATTATAATTACTGCCATATGAACATTATGGTTATAATCTTTTTATCCCACTAGGGGAACTAATTAGGTAAATTATGTTGGGTAGAGTCTCATGTTAGACCAAAGGCATACTGGTAGGTTAACTGGCTCCTATCTTAATAGACCCTAGTTTGTGTATATATGTATGTGAGATAAGGAGCTTAGATTTTAAGCTCCTTGAGGGCGGGGTCTGATGTAAATATAAAATATGTAAAAGTGCTGTGTAAATTGTTGGCACTATATAAATACTTGTTTTTGGATATATACAAAGCCTTTGACTCATGTCCTGGCAATACCTCTTCTACACTATGAACAGATGGGGAATGGGATCAAATTTTATCTCTACCTTAAAAAAACTAAATTCCTGATGGACTGCAACAATACAAATCGAGAGCTGCAAGTCAGGCAATCTTTAAATTGTTAAGGGCACCTTTCAGGGATGTCCCTTACATCTTTATTGTTTGCATTAATATACACTCTTGTGGATGGGCACATTGACACAAAAACCCCCCAACTTGCTACCAAAAATAGTTGATTTCATAGCACTTCCTTTCCATATAAAATGTTGTTCTCCCCCAAGCACTCTGGAGTGCTAGGCGTACCCAATTTCTCTTAGCTACTACAAAGTGGTCTCATGAAGATGACTGGAAAAATTCTAACAAAGATCACAGCCTACAAACAATGGTGCATTGGTATTATATGACAGAGGGTAAATATATATTTGGTGCATAATCATCTTGGCACTCAGAGTAACAAATTTTCATAAATGGTAGCCTGGGAAATCGACCTGAATTTAGATACAGAGATAATAGTTTGGCAGAAATGGTCAATTGGAATATTTAGGGGAACACTAATCTATTATTGTTTTAGGCTAACTATAAGGGTTAGTTAGTGATTGCCTATTCTTTGAAAAGGGAAATTTTACCACATTTACTAAGCTAAGGGGAAACTTCACCTGCAAAGTACAAATTCCCTTGCAAAGAGAACAGCCTATTGGCCTTTAGGAAATCAACCCCTATGTGTTTCTTGCAGCGCAAGTATCCATTGCCAGATCTTAGAAAACTACTTCAGCAGACCTTAACCTAATAAAGACTAAGATCTCATGTATTATGATCCATGAAAAATTAGCACCCATGCTAAATAAGAAATACAAGTTTGAAAAGACTTTCAGGGTTATTCACTAAGCTGCCGAACACTGTTCGGCTATTCACTTCAGCCCTGTATGGCTAAAAACAGCCGTACATAGGCTGCCTTCGGCTCCCTCCACTACACTTCGGTTCAGCCAAACAGTTTGGCTGAGCCAAAGTGAAGAACACATTCAACTCAACCAATCCAACATTTGGATTGGCTGAGCCAAACGCAGTTCACTTGCTGCTGTTTGCCCCTATTCTCATAGGGGCCAAACAGCAGTGACCGAACAGCCGAATGCCACCAGGCAGCATTTGGCTCAGTTATTCTGTTTGATACCTCAGAGCTAGTGAACAGAATAAAAAAATATAAAGAAAATGAAGAAAAAAAAACAGCGTTGGGGTCCCCCTCCCGGATTAGGTCTGGTAAGAATTTTAAGGAGGAACCCCACGCCCAAAAAACGGGGGGAAATTTGGGGTCCCCCCTACAATTCCCAACCAGACCCTTAATGCAAGCACAGGCTTGGCAGTCCAGCAAAGGGAGGGATGAGCGAGCGCCCCCCTCCGTGCTCCATATCCACATGCCCTCAGCATTGGGAAGGTGCTTTTATAGTGACCCCTACTGGAAAAGTACCTTGTACCCATGCTGATGAGGAGAAGGGCCTCTTCCACCACAACCCTGACCCGGTGGTTGTGGGAGTTTGTGGGCAGGGAGGATTATTTGGATCTGGGTACCCCCTTTAATAAAGGGGGCACCCAGATGCTGCCCCCCTTGTGAATGAGTAGGAGTACTTGTACCCCTACTCATTCACTAAATGGTTAAACCAAAATGTAAATAAACACACCACACTTTAAAAAAAATTCTTTTAATTTGAAAAAAAAAACACAAAGGTTTTTGACAATTCCTTTATTTAAAAAAATCCCCAAAATAAAAAAAATGGATCCACTGATGTAATCCAAAGGTCAATCATGATGTGCTGCATTGTCCACGATGACAACTTGCCACCTGCCCAGCTGACGCCGCACACTGAACGGTTTGACAGGTGCCAAAAAAAGTCAACAGATAGGTGGAGCTAACAGTGACATCATCGCTGGCTCTGCCTATGTGTTCACAATGTGCCAGCAGCTGTCAAATGGGTCTTCTCAAGTCCTGGCCGAATAAAAACAAATGGGCGGAGCCAGCCGTCACATCACTGCTGGCTCCGCCCATTTTTTGTCATGCTGTCATGCAATGACAGGCCACTGCCCTCAATAAGCAGTAAGAAAAAAATCAAGAAAAACAGCAGCACAGACAAGGATATTAAGAGGTGGATGATGGGGGGAGAAAGGGAAGGAAGAGAGAAAAAAAAAGGGGTGGGGGGAAATAATATTCAGTGAAGACACTGAGGGCCTCTCTAGCTATGTGGCACTCTCCCTCACCATCTCTCCTGTCTAAACACCTAAACACAAGGAATGGTAGTCTTGTGAACATGTAAATAAGCTCCAGTAGAACCATGTGTGGCGGAAATGGTAATCTCTCAAGCACAAATGTGCCATGAGATCCTCCATATATCTGATTTCCTCACCTTCACAAACCAGAACTGTATTAAAGAGGAGTTCTCGGTCTCCAGAATACAAGAACACAAGTCCTAGCTGTGTTCACCAAGTGGATAAGCATGGAATGTTTGTATCTGCCTCAAGAGAGAGGAGATAGGTGCAATAGGTAGGCCACAGGTTGGTCTCCCAGATCAACATCCATCAACCTATAGATGCATTTTCTAACTTGTTCCAAAAAGGTTGCAGTGGTGGTACAAAAGATCCATTAATATGGTACATCAGCACCTTTTTCTTTCTACTTTACTCTTTTAATTGTTTTCAATACATGTGCCAACTAAATTCATAGACTGTGTTCCTTATTTACTTGA